AGGAGGAGGTGAACGACGACGATGGGGACGAGGACGACGTGGAGTGAGGGCCATGTGCCGGTGCACCTGCTCGGGCCGCACACGGGCACAGGCCCTGCTGGCCCGGGAGGCGCCCGAGCGTCGGCCAGGCCCCAGGGCTGGGGGGCGGGGGGAGCCGGGCAAGACTCGGCCTCCGAAGGAGCGCGCCTCGCAGAAGGCCGCCAAGATGGAGGAGGAGATCAAGAAGAGCAACCGGGAGATGGTGCAGCTGCGCGAGGCCATAGACGACGTCCGGAACGGAGGGGGCTACCGCTTGCCAGGGAGCCCGAGCTCCGCCGCCCTGCCGATCAACCCGCCCGTCACGACCACGTCGGTCGAGGACAGGAAGTTCTTCTACTGCTCGGACTGCCGCGTCGGTGGTCACGGGCAGCGTTTCTGCAACTATTTCCTGCAGAGACCGAATTGGCGGGTGTACCCGAGCGAGAAGTGGTTCGAGGACAAGTCTGGCCAGGTGAGCTACTGCCCGATTGGCAAGGCTGGCGTCGATTTCACAGACGAGACGTATTTCGCCCGCATCGCGATGCACATCAAAGGCCGAATATGGCTAGAGGACAAGCTAAAGCTGTATGAGTTTGTCCCGGACTCGGGGAACGTGAGACCACATCAGGGCTTCTCTCTTTGAGCGAGAAGAGGGACAGGATACAGAAGTGACGGAGGGTTAGTGAAAGGGGTACACTACAGAGATGCACGGAAAGTTTGTTCGTGGCCCAGAGGGGTTGAATAGCGACATGCAGACGGAGTAAGTACAGTTTTCGCTTCAAGTGCAGAGGTTCAAGACATGTTTCCCAGTTGCGGGACCATCGCGTCAAAAGCATCGTGACACGTAAAGTCCTCGAAGAGATAGAGCCCAATGCCTTGACACCATAATTATTCCGTGAAGTTTATTAGGAATTTGTGATGTTGAGCCGATGCTTTGTTCGAATGATCCCAGGTGGTTGGCCCCCAACCTTTGTTTTTTATGTGGCCGCCTTGCCTCCACAATCGGTATATCGACTCAGCTCTCTCCAACTCCAGCTGTCTGCGTTCAACGCTCGACATCGTCCATGCGTAGTCTGCTGTTCTGTCGGCCCCAACATTTGGCCGGCGGCCCGCGGGCAAGGTCGCGCCAGGGCGCATCGCGCGCGCAGGCTGGAGGGAAGAGAGGGAGAAGGGGCAATTGCAAAAGCAGTAGAGGTTGTTGGTTCACACACACACACACATGTCCAGTTGCGCTGGTGCACGCATCCGCCACCGCGCTTGGGGATGCTGCGTAAGAGTTGGAAGGCCTGTTCGGGGCGGGCTGTTGGGGGGCCCCTTGGCTAGCCTTTTGGGATTGTTGTGGCTGTATGGGCTGGTCTTGTGGCCCGAAGGGGAGTCCCAGGATCGTGCCGGGTAAGGAGTGGTCTTGCTGGCCCAAAACACTTCGAGGAGATGCAGATGCAGCCGCCCTCCAGATGCGACTGGTCGGCCATGACGGCTACAAGATATATTATGTCGTTTGGCGCGCCTCAGGACTACATGCCTCTGACGTTCGTTATCGAAGATCAGCGCTGGGTTGGCGCTGTGCCCGATTCGGAGCCAGCAGATGCGCCACCGATGCCATGGTTTGTCAAGGCTCGAGCACCAAAAGTTATTGGCCCTCTCCTTATAAGTTCCCTCCGCCCCTGCTCCTGCCCCTTTCCCCAATCTTGCTTGTCTCTCCCTGCATCTTCTTTCCCCCCGTTTTCTCCCCCCCTTCCCCTACACACCCACACCACCCCTGGCATTCTCGTCAGGGGCTCTTTTTATTGATTGGGTGGGAGTTCGGGAGGGATGTGGTCAAAGAAATATGTTCACGATTCCGAGCAAGGAGACGGACCGCAATTGGGGTACCAGCGTGGTCTGTTGCGCACGGCCACAGGACTGCTTGGGGCTCGCAAAGCCAGGCGCCGTCTATGTTGTTCAGAAGCACATCCCGAAACCTCTCCTCTACACGAACGGCGAGAAGTGCCACATAAAGTTTTACAACCTATTGATAGGGATGGCTGATGGCGTCACGTGGAATTTGTATACTTACAAGGACGGCTACCTAAGCATATCGCCAAAGGCATGGGACCCAACTGACCTGTCGAAAGAGGGTCAGGTGACGATCATCAGAACAAAGCGCATTAATGATTGGCCATACTGGCCGAAGGTATACCCTACTTGTAAGAACGTCGTTGCGACGGTTGTCAAGCGCGCGGCTGAGCAGGGGAAGCTCGAGGGTCGCAACAAGAAGCAGTTCGAGATATTGAGCGCGGACTTCATAGTGAGCGAAGACCTCTCGGTCTCGGGCTCATTTGTTGAATGTTGCCCTGGGAGTTTCCCGCCCAGCCCCTCCCGCGATCCCTGCAAACGTAGTTATCCTTCTCCTCATCGTTTTACGGCGTAGGCCCCACAACCATCGTCCATCAGCATGTCTGGGGACCAATGCTCTGGTACGACGGAAGGTCGGGAGCCTGGAGGGCATCGAGGCCGCGATCAGAAATGGTGGAATTTCCAGAATTCGCTAATAGTTGTGTCGAACGACGCCAGTTTTCGGTGTCGAATCGTGAGGTGTTGTGCTTGTTTGTTTGTTTGTTTGTTTGTTCCGGCCGTGATTTGCACAGAGCGTTGGTAATCCCAGGTCCCGGTTGCTTTCGAAGCAGTGTTTGCGTTCAGGGCATTTGGTTTCGGATTAATCTTGCGGTCTGAGAAATGAATCATGTTGAGTGCCACGGGATGTTGCCCACAGAGTCCCGCTCATAGAGTCCCGCCCGCATGAGGTGCGAACCTTCGGGTTTGGGCTGTCGTGGGGTCCCGCCCGCAGGGTCTTGCCCGCAGGGTCTCCGCCCGTGGGGTGCGCACCCAGCTTTTTTGGGGGGTACCGGGTGGTCCTGCCAATGGGGCCCCGTGTGGCCTTGCTGGATTGCCTTGCAGGGCGTGCATGTTTTGCGTCCCCTTGCAGGGAGCTTGCTCCGTTGACCGATTGCGTTGCATTGCGCTCTGCACCGCTTCGCTTTGCACTATATTCTGTATTGCTGTCCATGGCGTTGCAATGTGTTGCATTTCCTAACAGTGCTTGCAAGCTTTGCTCTGTACTTGTTTGCGCCGGTTTGCTTGTCATCGCGATACTTTGCATTGCCCTGCATTGCTTCAATGTGCTATGCATTGCACGTCACGGCACCCCATTATTTATCGCATCCTTTGCACCCGGTTGATCGTATCACATGTTTCGAGCTAGATCGATCAGACCACATATCGACCTTCATGTGTTGCACCACCTGTGTTGAGCCACGCTGGCTACAATGATTTCGTGTTTGGGGTCCACGCCAGAATCAGTCTCAGGTTGCGTCGCCGCGCGAGTCCGCCACCGCGCTTCGGCGGGCGCCTGGGCGAGGGAGTGGGGCCTGGGTGGAGGCGTCCAGGGGGGGGGATTCGATCGAACGTTTTACCCGACATTATTGCGCAGCCGTTCGTTTGGAAATCAAAAGCACAAGGACTTGATCCAAGCAGCGAGCGCTTTGGGGGGGCTCGATGCGTCGGAGGCCTCATTGCTTCTTCCCAAGAACGGAAAACGCCAACCGTTGCAAGCGCGTGGCGGATTCGAGAGATGATGAGGATCGCGTTGTAGCCGCAGGCAGGGCGTCTAAACATTCCCACGATGCGTTCAATATCCGGCTGCGTACCAGTCCTGGAGACGTTACGATTTAGTAGTGTTTGTGCCCGGCAGCCTTGATGGCTGCAACACAAGAATCACAGCATGTTGTGGCAACTGACCCACACTCAAGGGCATCGATCCAGCGTGCCTGATTCTGGACGTCGCTCCCGGCCATGGATGCGAAATGGGAGTTTGTAAGATCTTCTTGGCTTTGGAACCCGCCGTGGAGGTGTACCTCCTCGAGTTCAACTTGGGCCCTGTGTTAAAGGATGCCGAAGACTCACCCGATGTCCACGATGCAGGTATGGTGGCTGGAGCGTTGCACATCGTCGAGCCCTGGGAGCAAGGCACCGAGGACCAGTGGGACCTGGCGCTCGAGTGCAAGGGGCTTCCTCCCAAGCCTGGCGAATACTAGGCCAGCTGACCGCCGGGCTGCCACAGTCGCGTGTTGTCAAGTGTGTCTTTGGCCCAAGGTGTCCTCAGGATTTTCAGGAATGTCCCCACGGCCTCCAGAGCACCCCTCACGCGGCCCAGAGGGCCAGAGGCGCTCCCAAACGTCGCGAAAAGCTTTATACACCTTGGGTCAGGGATTCATGTGGCAACCCGTGACATAGATCTTTCCATCTAGAGGGGAGGAGGAGGATAGGTGGAGGCGGGGCACGACTGATTGAAGCAGGGAGAGGTCCGACCCAACCCAACCTGGTGCGTCACGGCCGTATATTCCGCCCTCCGCGGGCCTAGACGTGACCGCAGAGGCGACGAGGCAACTCGCAACTACCTCCACCACGATCCGACAATTGACTGCCCGATTGCATGCAGCTAAGCAGGCTCTTCTGGCACATACGAAACAACTCGGCCTGCGCTATTCTGCACAGTCACGTAAAATATCGTCCTTGCGACCAGGCAGCTGAATACACATGACGCGGCCGGCTTGGGCGAGAGCCCAATGCACAAAGCCTTGCGTCTCTCCAGCGCTCAATGTTTCTATGACTGGGCGCGCCGGGCTCCCGCTTGCTCATCCAGCGCATGGCCTCAAGATGTTCCACATGTGAATCCAGCCATGCTTGTTTCTAGTTTCTTGGTGCATGTCTAGCCCAGTCGGGTGCAGATTGCCATCCAGCCACTCAAGGCAACATGACGCTTATGGGAAGGGCATCTAAACCCACGAACCCGAGAACAACTCTCCGAAAGTATGAAGGACGAACCTTCAGAATTTGTGATAACAAATCTCCAGAACCTATGACAAGGAACCTCTGGAATTGGCGAGAGATGACCTCCGGGATTGGTGAGAACAAACCTCGTCTGCGAACATCCCGTGCTACATCATTTCGTAGCGGCTGACGCGCAAGATTGAATTAGAAATGTTGTCTTGAAACCGAATGTTCTGCAATCTGAACTGCGCATAGGAGCTGAAATGTTGGAGCGAATGTTTGTTTCAGACTTCTCGTATGCCGAAGTCCTGCGCTGCCTCAGTTTCGAGAGGCCGGCGCGCAAGCGGGACCTAGACGTTCTGTTTCAGCAACCTGAATTGTTGGCAGGAGTTCAACCAGTAGAGCGAATATAGCCGGACCGAGGTATAAGATTGAGGTCGGTTTGGGGAGGGTCTCTTCGCGTTCCTCGTGGTTGTTGGATGTTCTTGTGTTTCCTGGGGATGGTAACTACCCTTGAGGTTCGGTTTCTCTGGGCAGACGGAGGGTCTGATGTTCTTGAGAGACGTTTTTGTTTGGCCTAGGTCCGACTGCTGTTGTTTCGAATTTCTCGAATGCAAACGGGGTTGAACAAGAACGTATCGGTATGTATTGGTAGCGCTCTCCGTTGGATATGCCCGTGATTGTTTGAATTGGTTGTTTTGTATTTTAGCGTTGCCTCCTACATCGACCGCAAAGCCTTGCCCAAGCCCGCGACCATGTTGATGCTGCCAGCGTGGCTCAGTATACTTTGCAGTGATATACAATGCCGTTACGAAAGTGTTGACCATTTCGTCCACGGACCCCCGTAGAATCCTACAACATGGCATCCGCCTATGGCGGAGTAGGTTTCGGATCCCGCCCACACCGTTTCTCCTTAGCATTAAAGACTTATTACGGTGTACAAACTTAGTCCGCACGTTTTTTGACGTGGGTTAACTTACTCCGCGTTCTTGTTGAACTTACTCCGCGTTGTGTTTTAGCTGAAGAAAACATACTCCGCGTCCTCCGAAACTTACTCCGCCTGTGTTTTACGAGGGTGAGCAGCTTCAGATCTGCATGGGCATATGTCCTTCGTTCAGTTTTGCCCGAGGGCGCGCTGGCCGCAGGTCCGGCCTTGGGATTTGCAAGAATGGCCAAAATTTTAGTTACGGCAGAGTATACGGCAAGGGCTATGGCACTTAATGCGACCATTTCTACCTCGGTATGTTCGGTAGCCGTCGCTGTAAATTCACATTCGTTGGTTGCATCTGTTGCAGCCTCCAGACAGCGATCGAAACCTAGTGACATTTTGGTGGTTGCTCAGTTCAAGAAGCCTTGGCTGAACCCATTACACAGACGTTGGCGGCCCCCATGACACATGTTGTCCCAACTATGGCAAGGAAAGCCTCCGCCGAAGCGAGCACGCACGCCGAGAGAAGTGGGCGCGCAGCCGCTGCATGTGCTGCCACCACCAGCCTCCCCCCCGCGAGACCCGACCCTACAGATCTCTCCCCTTGTGGAGGAGAGGGGGCGCCCTCCTACTCTGCACCCCCGAAGAGACGGACCACTGGATCCAGCCACGCCGGCCTGCCCGAGCCCCCCTGGGGCCCAGCTCCAAGGACCCATCGAGCAGGCCTCGGCACAGGCTCGCTGGACTTCGCGGCATTCCGCGCTCAAGGGACGAGCGCGGAGTCAGAGCCGAGCCGAGCGTGCTCCTCGGCGCCGCCCCGCGCCTTGCATCTTGGCAGCCTCGCCCTTCCTCCGCCGCTCCTGCAGCGTTGGCATCATCGGCCGCCTCCCACCCGGAAGAGCTCTCCTTGGTAGCCTCACAACGGCGACGACGACGACGACGACGACGACGACGACGACGACGACGACGATGGCGATCACGACGACGATGCCGAGGGCGACGACGACGACGACGACGACGACGACGACGACGACGACGACGACGACGACGACGACGACGACGACGACGGCGCAGTTCAGCCTCGTAGTCCTGCTAACGTTTGCTCAGCGTGTCGTGCCGCTGTTTTTGGCCCGCCACGTTTCGGCGCGACACGCTGACCGCGCCCCATTCCCCAGACGTTCCGAGCTCTTCCCGGCCTTCCGCCCCACGAAGCGGAGCCACACTCTATCATCGGGGGCGGCAAAGAGGGGGGTGATGACTAGGGGGGGGAATATCATGGCGGGGGCCATAATCTTTCCCCAGATTTCAGGGCGCCTCGTCTTATTTCATTACGTCCCTGGCCCCCCCCAGGGGCCGCGCACATGCCGCCAGCCATGATTTGCACCCCCCCCCTCTTGGACGCCCCCGATATCAGTTCGCAGGGCATTTCTTGTCGCCGGGGCTGCTGCAGCGACACGCTGAGCAAGAGCTCTTGCCTGTCCATCTCACGTTTGGTCGGTGGCTTCGCCAGCCTGCGCCGCCACCGCCAGCCGTGCCCTCGGTGGCAGTGGCGGTGGTAAATGAGTTCTTCGGCCACCGCCGGCACCTTGGTGGCACTCGTGGGTGTCATCACCGCGGGGGACCTACCACCCCCTGGATTAAAAAGTGGTGATCGGCACTACGCGAGGGAACAACCCCTGGGTCTTCGCCAATCGATGGAACCTCAAGCTTCGACCTTCGATCGATCCGAAGATGACTGCCAGACAGACTCGTGACCCGAACGGAGGAGCGCTGACGCAGGGGTGGACGAGACGCGCGGTTGTTAGGACAGCCCAAACGAAGTCGCCACTCTCTGGCGGCGTGAAAAGCGGCCGGAAAATACCCTGCGAGGAATTCTCAGGCGATATCGCCACTCTCAGACGGCATGAAGAGCGATCTGATTTTTTCTTGTTTTGAGGAAGTCCCACACGAAATCGCCACTTCCAGATGCCATGACAAATTTTCAGATCGCCCTGGATGAGGATCTCACAGTTTTGTTGAGGAAGTCTCTGACGAAATCGCACTTTCAGACGCTGACCCCATTTGGCCGTTCTTATATTAAAGGGGTGAGAGATGCACTTGAAATTCTCACATCGGCCCCGGCGCTCCAACATTGTCCCAGGGCCCCGCGGCCTACCGGGAGGCCAACCGTGCCTTCCTGGATCCCCACGGTCTCCATTCTTTGATCCAGCGGGTTGGTTTCTGGCAGCCTTTTATTTGCACCGTTCGATCGACGGTGGCATCCTCGGTGTCGCCTCGTTGGGAGCATTCGCGCTTACAGCCACCAGCTCCACCCCTCGTGCTTCCCGAAGGTCAGCTCGGAGTCCGCCTCCTTAGCTGACAGAGCCACACGCCCGGTCGCCAACATGAGAGCGCCAGCCAGCGCCCAGGCCGTTGGCAGTCGCGATAGCCAGGTCCTCCTCCTCCTCCTCCTCCCTCCTCCTCCTCTCCCTCCTCCTCCTTCTCCTCCTCCTCCTCCTCCTCCTCCTCCTCCTCCTCCTCCTCCTCCTCCTCCTGCGTGCGGCCGATGCTCTCGCGATAGCCGTCGCGAGAGCATCGGCCGCACGCAGGTGTGACCAAGCGCCCGAGTGACCTTTGGTGCGCGGCCTTCTTCTAGAGCGCGGGGAGAGTTCTTCTCAAAAACGCTCGGGGCCGTTTTCCCCCGTGTTCCACGTTTCGCGTCTGAGTCGGCCGTGCGCTTTCAAGACGGCGCCACGGAAGGTGGACACCGGGCAGGCGGCACGGTCAGATTTAAGACGCAGTGGAGATGGCAAGAGAATGAGCAGGTGGGCCACGGGCCGATCACGGACCTGAAGAAGTAACAAAAACGGCGCCAAAAGCGGAACGACCGAGGAGGAGGAGGAGGAGGAGGAGGAGGAGGAGGAGGCGATCTTTCTTGAATTTACACGACCACCCTTCGGATGATGAGGAGGTCGGGTGGCGGGGAGAAAGAACCATTTGTTGCTGGCAAATGCAATGGGTGTGATGATGACGATGCTGGTGACGGGCCCTCGAGTCAGCGACGGCGCGTAATGACGATGTTGCGTTGCGATGTAATGCCAACATCGTCCCCGCGTTCGATCTCACTCGATCGATCCCACGATCGACATCACAGGATCGGCCACACTCGATCGTTCTCACTACATATTCCACTATCGATCTCACTATAGATCTCGCGTTGGATCTCACTATCGATCTCACTATCGACCTATCGATCGATCCCAGTATCGATTTCACGATCGATCTCACACCCAATGCCACAATCGACCTGACTGTCGATCTCACTTTTGATCTCACTACCCATCTCATTCTGGCGATCTCATTATGGATCATACTATCGACTTCACTATTGATATCAAGGCGGGGCGCCCCAGGCCACCGCCCGCCCACCGCCGACGGAACACCGACGAGACACCAGCAGGACACCAACGGGACACCACAGGACACCACAGCGGGACAATCCCGGCCACCGCGCGCCCATCGGGAGCGGAGGGGCGGTCCATTGCATCCGAATCGCCCAAGGCACGGCGGGGTCATTCCTCTCACGCGCCCACGCAGCTTCGCCTCGCCCGCGCGCACGACACGAACACGAGACAGAAACCGATTTCCCGGTGGGGGTCTCTCCATTATTTTGCGACCTCACCCCCACATTTCAGAAAATAATACCAATAATAATAATTCACCCCCCCAAAAAAAGAGACGTACCCACCCCATTCGCCACGCGAGGCGACTACTTGTATGAACGCTCCATACAAAAGAACACGTCGCCAGATATGCACGATCTGCACTGCCCTCACCTCCGTCGTGCCTCCCAGGAGCCCACGAAAGTGGCGACAGTTGCGCACTTCGCAGCCCCCCCTGGAGGCCGCGGGGTCTCAAATGGATCTGCGCTGCCCGCACCTCCGCCGTGCCTCCCAGGAGCCAACGAAAGTGGCGACGGTTGCCCACTTTGCAGCTTCCTGTAGGGAGCTTCGAGGCATCGGCTTGGGCTGCGTGGCCCTCCACTCCGCTGACCTTCCCAGAAGCCCACGAAAGTCGCGACAGTTGCTCAGGTTCGCAGCCTCCCGAGGGAGCCGCGAGGTCTCGGCTGGATCTTGTGGCCCCCGACTCCGCTGGACCTCCCAGGAGCCCACGACAGTGGCGACGGGTGCGCAACCCAGGGAGCAGCGAGGTCCAAAAATGGGGCCGCGTGGTCCCCGATTCTGCCAGACTTCCCTAGAGCCCACGAAAGTGGGTTCGGTTGCGCAGACCGCAGCCTCCCAGGGCGAGGTCTCACCTGGATCTGCATGGTCCTCGAAGTTCGACCCCGCTGGACCTCCCATGAGCCCACGAACGTGGCATCAAGTGCGCAGTTCGCAGCTACCCAGGAAGAAGCGAGGTCCCCAATGGATCCGCATGGCCCCCGACTCTGCAGGACCTTCCAAGGAGCCCACGAAAGTGGCGACAGGTGCGCAGTTCGCAGCGCCCGAGGGAGTCGCGAGGTCTCACACGGGCCCGCGTGGCTCCCGACTCCGGTGGACCTCCCAGGACCCTACGAAAGTGGCGACACATGCGCAGTTCGCAGCCCACCAGGGCGAGGTCTCACGTAAATCTGCGTGGTCCCCGAAGTTCGACTTCGCTGGACCTCCCGGGAGCCAACGAAAGTGGCGACAGGTGCGCAGGTGCGCAGCTACCCAGAGAACAGCGAGGTCCTGGGCTGGATCCGCGTGGCCCCCGACTCCGCTGGACCTCCCAGGAGCCAACCAAAGTGGCGACGGTTGCGCACTTCGCAGCGCCCGAGGGAGTCACGAGGTCCCCACTGGGTCCGCGTGGCCCCCGACCCTGCTGGACCTCCCCAGGAGCCCACGAACGTGGCGACAGGTGCGCAGGTGCGCAGCAACCCCAGGGAGCAGCGATGTCCTGGGCTGGGTCTGCGTAGCCCTCCGCTCCGCAGGACCTCCCGGGAGCCCACGATAGTGGACCTCCCGGGAGCCTACGAGACTGGCGACCAGGTGCGCTCGTCGCAGCATCCCCAGGGAGCAGCGAGGTCCCCGCTGGGTCTGCGTGCCCTCCACCCGCTGGACCGTCCAAGGATCCCACGAAAGTGGCTCCAGTGGCGCAGCTGGCAGCCTCCCAGGGAGCAGCGCAGGAGGAGGCAGGAGGGAGGAGGAGAGGGAGGAGGAAGAGGAGGAGTCGAGACCACAGTGCTCTATTCGAAACGACAACCCATCACGGGAGGGTCGGAGGGGGGGGACCCAAAAGCAAAAAACAAAAAAAAAAACATCAAAAAATCAATAGATAAATCATAACATTCAATTTATGCTTTGTTTTTTTAGCCGCAGGCCGCTGCTGCCGCCCCGCACGCGGCGACCCACACAGGCCGCACGCCGGGGAGCCCCCCCCCCTCCTGCCTTAGAAGGGCCGTGGCCGCGCGTGGCCAGCAGCACCCGGGAGAGCACTGCCAGGGCCCGGGCGGCGGCACGCCCGAGGCGCCGGCGCAGGCGGGGCGCCGGGCGAGGGGCACCGGGCCCCCGTCGGGGATGGCCAGGACCCCGGGTGAGGGGGCCCAGGTTGTCACCACCCACCAAAGCACCCCAACCCAACCCGACCCAGACCACCCAGACCACCCAACCCGAAGGCCTCAATTTGCCCTCCATTTCCAGTGGGGGGGGGTCGGGGAACACTGATAGGCAGTCAGGTTAGTGGTAGGGCTCCAGAGCCTTCGAATTGGCCAGAATCACTAAAGCAGGTCTGCCATAGCTGGTGTTTTTTCGGGTGACGGCAGTTCCGGTTAGTGGAAATGGGACGGGGGGGCGCCCCCGGTACAGATCATTAAACCAGGTTCCATTAAACCCAGTTCTACCAACGCCCGACCCAGACTTCCGACGTCCCGAGGAACTCACGACGGAGGTTTTGGACCATTGTCGGCCCCCTGGAGGCCCTCGCCGGGCCTCGGGAGCGTCAGAAAACGGCTCGGGATGAAAAACCGGTCCCAGGGAAGGCCTCCAGCCTTCGGGGGGCCGACGTCGTGAGTTTCTCACGACGTCGGGGGTTTGGGGCATGCGCCGAGGCCCGGCGCGGGGCGCCACTCCGAGGAGGAAAAGGTACCCATACCGTCATCGGCGCCACCGCAACATACCAATGCTAGGTGTGCGTCGCCCCCGAGGAGCGACGCGCGCACCGAGAAATCTCGCAGTAGATGCGTCGTGGCGGGTGCTTTCTGGTCACACCGCTCGGGAAACGATATACTACAAGATGGGTCTACTAGATGTTCGGGTCGGACGCGCGCCACCAAGGAGGACCTACACTACCAGTATGTCTCTGTGCGCCCCACGCTACCTTTCCCTCGTTTCCGCTGCTTCTGTCTCCTGGGAGGCCCTCGTCGCCACCTGCTGGATTCGCGTCGAAATTCTGGTCCGAACGCGCCCCGGGAGAGGCTCCTGGGAGCAGCGGCGTCGGCGCCTTTTGGGGTACCCCCGGCCACCATGCGGGCGCGCGCCCGTCGGTGAGCGTGCCGCGACGCTGGGGCCGCGCACCGTGGACGGCGCGGCAGCATGTGGGCGGGCCCGAGACGGTGCGGTGACAGACCGTGCGGTGTCTCGGAGAAGAGAGACCAGCATGAGCAGAAATGTTCGGAGCTCCGCGCGGATTTCTCTTGGGTCGGCGTTGGAGACACCCCCAGCGCGCCCACTGGAGCCAGACAGAGGATGGAGCAGGGAAAAGGAGGGGAGACGAGGAGCAGGAAGTGGAGGAGGAGGAGGAGGAGGAGGAGAGGGAGGGAGGGAGGGAGGGAGGGAGGGAGGGAGGGAGGAAGGAGGGAGAGGGGGGAGAGACAAGCTAGGTGCGCTCGCGTCATATCTGACATCCTACCCCTCCCTCTCATCCCTTACCATGGCGTAGATCCCCTCTCTACTCGCACAGTCGGATGTCGAGCAGGGCAATGATCCCGAAAGGGTACGCGATGCATTGTAGAGCACGGCATGGCATGGCGTAGAAGAGCACCGCAAAGCGTAGCATCAACCTAGCATTGCATTGCATGCCGTGGCATGGCACGGGAAATGACGCCAGCGCTGCAGCGGGAGCACGAGTCGGAACGAGCGGAAGCGCGGAAATGAGGCCAGCGCTGCAGCGGGAGCACGATTCGGAACGAGCGGAAGCACGGAAATGAGGCCAGCGCTGCAGCGAGAGCACGATTCGGAACGAGCGGGGCCCGAAAATGAGGCCAGCGCCTCAGCGAGAGCAGCATTTTGGGAAAAAATGCAGGCGATAACCCAATTCCGGGGAATCTTGCGTGTAAAAAACAATACGCGGGGGGGGGGCTAATACTTTCAAACCGTCATCTGGGGAAGAGGGAGAGTAGTATTCATATTGAGTCATTGTATGAGGGAGGACAGGGGAGGGAGGATGCACTGGGGAGGGCGGAGAGGAGGGAGATGGAGGACGGAGGAGAAGGGAGGGGAGACAGGATGGAGGGCCGAGGACACTGGAAGGATGAGAGATCTAGGGAGGATGACGTTATGTGCGAGTTGGGAGGCGGAGGAGGTGGCGCTCTGGGCAAGTCGCGCATCTGTATCCTTATTATCCTCACCTCTTGCTTCTAGGGAGGGCCCAGCTTGCACTTATCCATGATGGTCGCACGCACGCCGGAAATTGCCTGAGCGCTACCCGGGATAGGTCGTGCCTGGCCAGCGCATTGAGATTATCTCTGTGGCCGGATACCTTCCCCGTCTCGCCTATCTCCTCCATGCGCGACTCACGCCTGTACCTCGTGATCCGCTCCGCCGTAAAAATAGACATGGGTCTGCAAAGTGTCCATCCATCGCGGGATGCCCACCACCGTTTGTAGTTACCTACGCGTTGTTACATGCATGTTGATGGCCAACATGTATGTGTGTACGCGTCTCTCTCTTTCTCTCTCTTTCTCTCTCTCTCTCTCGTTTTATTTATTTTTTTCTATCTCTCTCTCTCTCTCTCTCTCTCGCTACAAATATACACATACATACGTACATCGCGTTCTCGTTCTCTGTATATACAAACATGTATATGTGTACATTAGACTGCGTTGGCGCTTCGTGCCACGCACCTTGGTCCTTCGAGCTTCGCATATGGTGGCACTTGACGTCATCCTCTCTGGCCTTTGACATTCGACCGTTGCCTTTCAAGTCCCTTTATCCGTTCCTCATTGGCGTTTGCTTCCCTTGGCTTTGGAAATACGCTGGAAGCCCGATTCGCCACCGATTTCTGGTGTGTTTCGTAAGAAGATGCCTCTTGGAAGACGCGCAAAGGAATGACGTTCGGAATCCGTCGCGTGGCCACAACACGGGCTCGCTCGTGGCCCAAGTTGCCCAGGCGCGCAATGCAAGGCAATGGAAACCAACGCCTCATCGTTCCACATCGTTTTTCTCATTCATCCTCGCTCTCGCCTGGCGTTGCGAACCATCTCCCGTTTGTCGCAAGTCTTTTCGCGGAGGCTTCTCGTGGGAAAACCACTCGGGGGCCTCACGAATACCGTCAAGGGCTTTGCATACCTCTGGAGGCCTCCTGGGCGCCTCTATGGGCCGTCTGAGGGGTCCTTTTGATGCCCGTTCCTTAGCCGTTCTGGCTCAAGATACGTAGCCGTTCCGGCTCCCGCCTGTTCCGGCATACGACGACCCAGAGGTTCTTGCCCAGAGGTTGTTGGCATCTATCTCAGAAAGGCTCAGGGAACCCACGGGCCAAAGGTTTTTGCCTTATTCTAGGGGAACGAAGAATGACATAAACAAAAAACTCAGAGGTCCGCGCGGATTTCTCGGATCTGCGCTGGACCCTCCTGGCGGCACCTCGAGGGCCGCCCTTGGCGCGCTCCGCGCGCCAGGGAGGGGGGTCCAGCGCCGATCCGAGAAATCCGCGCAGACCTCCGAGTTTTTTTGTTCATGTCATTCTTCGTCCCCATCTATCCTTCCCAAGCCCATGCTTCGGGCGGCGGCCCCGACAAGGGCACATCATACGTGTGCGCAGCGGCCAAGTTGGCACTCCCAGTTTCCACACCCTGGTGAGTCTGGCTCCCCTGGTCGTGGCACGGGCACGTCAGGAAGCGAGAGTCGCTGAGCAGATGAGTTCCCAGATGGTGCCTGCGCTGCGATCGTCGGCATCGGCGGCGGCGGCCTCATCGACTGCATCGTCTGCGGCGGCGCCAGCAGGCTCGGGCGCCCTCGCTGGCGCGGGCGGCGACAAGGACCAGCCCTCCGAATTGCCCGCCGATCGCGTAGCGGCCACGGGCCGCCACCGGACCGCGCTGTCGAGCATGGCCTGGCGGCATCCCTGCCGCGGCCCGGCTGCCGTCGAGGCACGGCACTGCTTCTCATGGCCGCCCCTGCCCTGCCCGCGATCGTTGCAGGCGACCGCGGGGCGCAGGACCGGGATGACCGGCTCGGCCTCTCGGAGCGCGGGGGCCTTCCTCGCGAGGGGCAGGCCCTGCCCCGGGGGCGGGGGTCGAGCCCACGAGGCTTGACGACGACGGCGAAGCCGAGTTGGAGCAGATGGGGGGCCACAGGCGAACCCTACCCCTACCCCCCACGATTTCTGACGGGGGAGGGTGGGGTTCACTTCGACCGGGAGCTCCCGAGCGAAGTGAACCCCACCCTCCCCCTCCGAAATCGTGGGGTGTAGGGGTAGGGTTCGCCTGTGGTCCCCTAGCAGATGCTCGCAAGCCGTACCAGGTGCGCACAGGCACACTTGGCATTCTACATACTACAAGCAGGCGCTTCAGCGAGCTCGTGCTCGTGACCGGCCTGCCCCTGCCCGCCCACTGCAGCTGCAGCGCCAGCGACGCCCACCAGAAGCTCAAGATTATCGAACGCCGGCTGGAGAAGGCACTTGCAGATCTGGAGCGTGCTCGGGAGTGGACTCCTACTAAGGAGCAAGATGCACTGTCCCTTCGGAGGGAATTGGAGGAGCAGGATGCGCTCCACACGGACCTCATCTGCACTCCACCGCTTAGAAGTTTCCGCCTCGGGCTGCAGCAAGCACCCCGACGCAGATCAACATCCCGCGAACTTTTCAACGGCAAGCTTTCAGAGATCACCATCGCCAGAGCAGATGATATGTTGGGAGCACCGTTGGAGGAATGGGACCTGTCCACGGAGGACATACATATTCTACAAGGCATACAGGAGTTGCTTGCCGGAGTCAAGATTACAGCTAGTTCTTTCTATGCAGATTTGGTCAAATGTTTGGACGGTGCAAAGAAAGGCCACCGCGACGCTTTGGCACGTCTTGCGCATTGCACTGCCAGGAGGGAGACGAAGCACCTGCTGAAGCCTTGTTGCTACTGGTCGCCACAAACTTGGCCAAGTCCTCATGGAGGTGCTCTGAAGCATGAGTCTTTTGAGACTCTCATACGAGACGAACATCTGCAGCAGCGGCATCCCTTCATCACGTAGCCAAGCGCCGACACGCCCACTTGAGGCAACACTCGTCGGGGTGATCAAGTTATTTTGCCTTTCTCCTAACGCCAGGCATCATACGCATAAGAATCACACATCTATGTCGCCTCTACTCCTCCCCTGCCGCATGTATGGCGTGGTCCTTCTTGGAAGCCGCCCCTTCGGGGTGGTGAAGTAAGGCTCGATTCGCACATCAGCCAATAGAATCAACAGTACTCTTGCGTGCGCTTGTACAACATTGCATATCGAGCACTCTTTCGTGGAACCTGGTTCAAGATGGCCACAAAGCACACAGTGCCATTTACCAACTTGACTCGCCATGGGTGTCGCTAAAAGTGCTTCAAAGGCTTGATTGTGTTGTCGCATATCTTCGGCTTGCGCCTCCTCCTTCCTCGTCCTCATCGCAAAAGTTTCCTGGCATCTACGTCGAAGCTCCTCAACGTACTTTGCATGCTCTGCATGCTGCTCCCATTCTGCAGAACTCCTTCTCTTCGAACTTGGTTCGTAGTGATGCCTGCGATGATGAGCCATCTCTGTCAAGCACCGCCAGCGTAAGCTGGCCTCCATGCGTCCGAGTGCTCATCTCCGTATGCATGCCCGCCTGCTGTTCTGATAAGTTAAATGCCAGCCGTCGTTCAAGTTCTTCGATCTGCACCTGGGCCATGTCTGGGACAGGTACCTTATGTTGATGAGCTACTTCTATGTGCACTCGATATTGCTTAGCTCGTTGCTGTGCTTCCACAGCCGGATGGTGTTTCGTTGCCGCGGTATGCGGAGACGTCTCCCAATATGTTCGAACATGTTGAGTTTTAGCTTGCTTGATCAAATATGCGGTAGCTCCTTCTCGCGATCGCGTTCCTCTTTTCCTGTCTTCAGATGCCCCAGCTCCTTCCTGTACGTTTCCGACGTAGTGGCCAGTTCGACACTCTCCGTTACCAGCTCTCACAAAAGCCGCAGGTGCAGGTGGCGGTGGTGGTGTAGCCGAAGTAATTGAAGCCGACTGCGGCAGGGACTGGGTCCACCCTTTTGTCGGCGCTGGGCTGGAAAGGCACATGTGTACTCACACGCACGCACACACATAACTATAAATATAAATATACACGCAACACAGTGAAACGCTCATCATTTTTACACCGCAGTAAATGAGCTCTCATCTTGTACTATAACGGAGGTGGAGCAGGAGCGGCCTTGGCAGCACCGGGAACAGGACTTCGCAATGGTTCTTGCCTGATCTCGGTCCTTGCTCTGGCTCCCCGATTTTGAAATCATACCATTGGTTGCCTTCAATGA